GCGAGAGAGAGAGAGAGAGAGAGAGAGAGAGAGAGAGAGAGAGGCTGCATGCCAAAATTGGAATATGGGTCAGATTGTGGCCAGGATCTGTTTCGCATTTAAAATTATGTTTTAGATTTTAAATTTTATTTAATATAATTCCAGGAAAGATCACAACAAAATCTAAGAGCACTACCCGAGAGCCTAGCTCAGTGGGTACACTCATGAACTGTTGAAAATACAGACCCGTGTTCGAATCCAGATGATGGAAGTTGATGAGTAAAAGTTGTAAAACCAACTATTTCTGAAGTACCTGGGGCAGGTCAGCTTAATGATGATATTAATGATGATATCTCAAGGCCGTCACCCTTAAAAAAAAAAAAATAATAATAATAAAAAATCTACGAGCACTCCAATTTTCAGGCGTGGTGATTAGTTTGCCGTTCTTTATTTTTTTATTTTTTTTTCAATCTGATATTTTTCCTCTAAAGATCACCACCTATCTACAGATTCTCAAATTTTCAGATTTTTCTGCAAACTCGTCTGAGCACAAAAACTTGTCAAAGTTGGACCCACTGGTATCCCTTTTGTGTTCGCAGCCTGTCAAAGGTGCGTTTTATGCCCCTGAGAACATTTTTCGTCGCCATTCGTTATACGGTCATTGGGAGGTTGGAAAAACAAGACATGGCAGTTTAGGGGGTGGTGGCATCTTATTTGAAACTGCAGGACCGGTAGCTGCCTGTGGGACCGCATGGGTTTTGTGCTCGGAGGAATCCGCAGAAAAATCGTCAAAGTTGCCTCTTGCACATAAAATCTACCAGAGCTGCTGTAGGTAGTCCGCCATTTCGACAAGGACCGGTCCTCCAAATTCACCACCCCACCTGTAAGAACCCACTTTGCGTCCTGGTCGGCCGCCGCTGAAAATGCGACACCTTGACACAGGCGCTAAAGCCCACTATAGGGCTGCAAATTGACTTACCGTGAGGGCACAGGTGCAAAGCCCGTAGTTTGTTTGTTTATGTGGTTCGGGAAGGGTAAAGTGGTGATTATGCTGTACGTAATTTTTGTCATGTTCGCTATGCACAAATCGAAGAGTGTGTGTGTGTGGGGTCCCGGTTGGTGCTTTATTCACGATGTTCATGAGACGTTGGACCCAGTTTCCAGTAGGTGGCGCTCCCCATCAATAGACAGGAGAATGTATGTGCGTGTGTATGTGTGTGTGTGTGTGTGTGTAAGAGAGAGAGAGAGAGAGAGAGA